ACTCTGAATTATTTAACCAATTGTCATTAAATTGAGTTAATCGTTTCATATTTTTTGCACTTGTTTTTTGAGACATTTTTAATGAAAATTAACACAAATATATTTATAGAAATAATACAATAAATTGATCTTACATTACAAACACTTATTACATAATGATTACTTTATATCACATAATACCGTAATACCATAATACAGTATACATTTAATTATATATTGAATTGCAATTTAAAACCACATTTTATTCATATTACTATATTGACATTAAATGATAACAGGCCGGATATGGAAATAAAGTCCTTTAATTTTTTATTGATTAGTTTAAATATATTTGTCTGCATATTTCTACAAAACATTTGCGCAAAATATTCATCAATACATTACAATGTATTTTATTGCTGGTTTGATATGAAATAAATATTGCTTTAGTTTACAGTTTTTCCTAAATACTAATTTCATGTATATATTTTCACAAATAGTGGACATGCAATTAAAGGACATACAATGTCCACTATTTTTTTTAATAAAGCACAGAGGACAGATACCCAAAATAGAGGACTGTCCTGTCCAATAAAGGACGGTTGGTCACACTGACGTCCAAGCACTCGCTCTACTTAACGGTATATCGAGTGTTGCATGACCATGCACGTTATACACAATTAAACAATTGTATATAATTATACTTGCTATTAATGTAGCTGATACGTTCATAATGATTTAATGTCTAAACTTAAAAATAGTTTAGTATTTATATACCTTTCTGTTGTATTGCAAAATATGTTGATAAATCGCTGCTAAAATGAATGGACCTAGTAACAATAAACTAATAATCTTAAATAAATACTTTATAGTGCCAGATTCCAAGAATTAATTAATTTTTGCAATAAATTTGTTATCAAAATATAATATTTTTACATTTAATTTAAGATCATATAATTTTATCACTATTATCAAGTATATATTATTGGTATTTGTAATGTTAGTATTAAACTTACAAGTTAGTGTACTTAATCAATAATACTTTTTTGCACTCATTAGTTATTTTCAATGATAATATCGATCATAAGAGCAAATTATAAGAAAATAATTGATTGTAAGAATTTAAATAGTATTTTTTAAAAATATTATTAAGCTCAAGTGTGCTAACATAAGTCTTAATCAATATAAAATGTGATAAGTGTTTGCAAAGCTTTACTTGTTTAATTAGAGAAAATTTCTGATAAATAGTATATTTCTTATTAAATGTCTTTACAAACTAACATCTTATCAAACAAGTGAATTAAATTGAATTTTACAGTACAATTACAGAACAGATTACCTAGCAACAAAGCAAATACAATATATCTATATAAAGGCTGCTTTGAAACCTTTAAACAAACACATTTGTATATTAACTTTAAAGTATTATTATATAAGCTATACAGAAATGTCACACAATCAATATGTTATGGTCATATTTGCCATATTACATTTATGTACAGTTGGTCACTGTAGTGATTCAAGCGCTATATTAGACGAACCCCCGTCCCGGTCGAGCGCCTGGAGGTTTTTCTTTAAAACACTCAACAATTCATTGGACGGGTACACCAATTGTGGGGGTTTTGATGTAAGTCTTACACTACATTAACTAATTAATTAATTAAACGTTCAATTTATAAGCTTAATTTTATTATGTATAATACAGTATATAAATTTATTAATGTGCTTTTAACATATTAGTACACTATGAGCAACATTTTTTAAATTTAATTTTTAATGTATAATAAATATTTGTAGACCCAATGGAACATTAACCAGGGCAAATGTGGGGTTTGTGGCGACCCTTATAACTCACTGGTACGTGAAAACGAGCTACCCGATGGTAAATACACTAAAACATTGATGATCACCCGAACCTACAAAACTGGCACCACTATATACGCCAAGGTTCATGTTATTGAGAATCATCAGGGTCACTTTGAATTCCGGTTATGTAAAGCACTAAACCTATTAGGGAACGACACCCATGAATCACACGTAGGCGTCAAAGAGGTAACCCAGGAGTGTCTGGACCAGAATATGTTGGAAGTAATGGGTTCATCAGATAAGCACCGGTGGGTTATTCCCACTAAAGATAATGACGTTATTTATGAGATTCGTGTGAAACTGCCGGTTGGGTTGACGTGCGAGAGGTGTGTATTTCAGTGGACATGGATTACCAATGAAAGGGCTGGCGATAAACAGACTACACATAAAGCCTGCTCAGATGTCAAGATTATTAAATAAAATACGTTGATTGACAATGATGAGTTATAAAATAATATTTTTAAATTTTTAAAATAAATTCCAAACATTGATTAAAATATTATTTAAAAATTATATTCATAATTAATTAGAAACTTTAAGTTATAATTGGTTGACAATATCGTACTTATCTAGATAATATTTATGTTTAAAGTACATATTAATTGTTAATGTAATATATTATATCGTTTTGTTACTAATAGTATATCATACAGTAGAATTAAATAATACGATAGGTAAAAATTTATTAATTCAAAAATAAAAACTGAGCAAGCATTTAAAACACCTACGATAGCAAAACACTTTGTAAAAGGGTAGGCGGTTTAATGTGTTTAAAAGGTCAGTGGTTTATATAGATTATCTAGGTTGTAAATTAAAATTCATTGCACGTTGAGTCTGAATATGTAATTTATATTTTCCTATGACCTCGGGTTGAGTGAGTTAAATGTAATGTAATAAAAATTAACCATCGTTATTTATCAATTTTATAATAAGTTATGCCATGCACAGTAATATAAATTATAATAATCAGTGAATGAGAGAGAGAAAGCATAAAAAATTATTGTGCCGGCAATTACTATTAATTTTAAATTTTATTTTCATTTTTACTTTCTCATAAAAGGTTTTACTATCATACAAAGAGGAGGTTTTTCCATTGAAAATACATGGGTTTTGGTCATAGAAAATGCATTTTAACAAAATTGGTGTTTGTGAACTCCATTTATTCCTAAACTAACCATGATAAAATTAATCCATTTAAAGGGAATTTGTAGAATTTGGGTTTGATTATTTTCACGAAGACATTATGTTTCTACACTATGTTTAAGGGAATAAATAATCATTGTTTGTACAGCACAAACTATACTAGATAAAATTAATCTGATAACTGTATTTGAAAGACAATTCAAAATGGGCGAGTACCTATTTCAGGAATTTTTTATGTACATCAAATTTAAATTTTTAATTAAAGAATTTAATATTTAAAATAAAATTTTATATAAATTTATAGATTTATCATTGTATACACTAAGAAATGTAATGTTAATAAAAAATTCCTGAAATAGGTACTCGCTCATTTTAAATTCTCTTTCAAATCCAGTTATCAGATTACTTTTATCTAGTATAGTTTTTTCTGTACATACAATGACTATTTATTCCCTTAAACATAGTGTAGAAACATAATGTCTTCGTGAAAATAATCAAAATCATTTTTTACAAATTCCCTTTAAATGGAGTAAATTTATTAATTTTTTAGTCTTTTATCATTTAAAAAATTATTTAATATTAAAATATATATACTAAAATTCTTGAGTTCTCAACTTCTGTGTTATGGTATAGCTCCCAGTTATGAACTGTAGCATATTTTTTGACGGATTCCCTATACCTGTAATGTTAAATGCATTCTCTACTATGAACTTCCCAATTATGTATATTTCCCTCTTATGTATGCAAAATCAGGGACTTATGTACCAAATCATACTCCGAGTTATGTATGGCAAACTATTAAGAGGTAAACTAAAATTTCAAATCAAAAATACAACATTTCAGCATTTATTGTGAAAAATGCCCATAAATTTGTTTTTATTTGTAAAAATTTTAATAACCTTTACTATATTTATTTAGGATTTAGAATATTTAGTTATAATTTTTTATAAATTAATTAACGAGTCAAATATATTCATAAAAAGTGATGTTATAGAATTATGGTTTATAAATATTGACAATAAATTTTATAAATATGGAATTATGAATTCTAACTCCTTAGTAAAAATTATAATTATATCTGGAAATTTTTATAATCTTGGGAATTTCATTTATAAAAATATAATTAAATCATTTAACTTTTTTGGCTTCAAATATAAAAACATTTGATATAATTGTATGTAAAATTTTAATTGATTATATAAATGGTGCGTTTCGTGAAAGAACGACATCTGTTTTTATTGAATATTAATGCAAAGTAGTTTATTTGTAAATTATATATTATTCAATTAGCTTTTAATTAAAATTTTAATTGAATGACAATTATTTATTTTTGTTATTTAATATTGTAGTTTAAATTACAATTAGTTTTAATTCAAACTATAAGGTCATGGATGTATTTAACATTATAATGATATGATTTATGTAGTTTCAACAATCATGAGTCCAAATATCAATAATAAAAGATAAATAAATTGATATTTTGGTATAAAACTAAAACACGGCGATTTTAATTTTTAAATTACGTTAACCTTTAACCATTAAATCCAAAGTGCCAGAGTGGTCATATTTGAGCTATGTTCGAACTTTTTTGAACACTCTCTTATGAACGCTCCCAGTTATGTACAGAATTCTCTTGCAATAGGCCATACATAACTCAGGAATTCCACTGTAATAAAAAATCAATATTTGTAAGTATTATAAATAAATAAAATTATGTATTACATACAATAAGCCCAATATGCCTGTTAAATTGCACTGTTAATCTTAATTGGCATAACATGTATTGCACCAAGGATAATCGGTAGTCATATAATAATTCCTATAATTAAATAAACATTTTATAAATAATTTTCATACTGATAAGAATTAATGGCAATACTTAGAAATATATTATACCTTTGGATAATTTATGTAAATCAATTATTGTTTTAATTAATTTGTAATAGAGAGCTTCCCTTATGATACTTTTGTGGTATAAGGGTTGCGAATTTATTTGATTAATAAAGATCCATTTTATTTAATTTAAAAAATCCATTATTAGTCACATTATGATTACACGTACAGTTAATTGACAGGGAAATGTTTGTATATTTAACAAACTGATACAAATAAGGAACTTCCAACTTTTAAGAAGTAATCATATTTTAAACTAATAAATTAAATAGGTATACAATCTAAGTTTAATTTTTAGTTAAATAAATAATCTATCACAAATATAAAACTTTAAAATATAAATTTATTATTTCTATGGTTTAGTTATTTTAAGTATAATACATTATATTGATATAGTATTTGTACTTTATTAATGATAAAGTCTAATTTTAAAAGTGATATTATTGCAAAATATACTATGTTAGATTATTTTTATAAAAACAGGCATTTATAATAGAATAAATATCATTGTATTGAATTGAAAAAAATGTATTATAGCTTAACTTTAATGATTAATATATCGTTTTTATTATATTACGATATAATGTATTATCTATAATTTCTAGGCTAATTAAAATGTTTTTAAATGTCCAAATCATTTATATGTTGTTTATCATATAGTATAATTATATTGTATACTTTTGAGTATACTTGGTACACATGGACTTTCTTATAATTTGTAAAAATTAAAAACACATGACATTTACAAAACATTTCAATCTCAATTATCATTTGTATAATTTTATTCTATTTAATATCATAATACAGCACATTATTATGATAATGATAATAATACTTAATTTTACTATGCAAATTTAGTAATCAAACTAATTTATTTAATATAAGGGATACACAATTATAAATTTTATATTACATGATAAATTTGCAGAAATATTTGATAATGCCAATGATGTAGGTGTTAACAAGAACCAAGATTACAATACTAGGTCCAAGGTCGATTAAATCACTTTTCTATATAGAAAGACGTTATGAAAACTAAATTCAAATTCACGGTACGTTTTTACTATAGAGATAACCCTGAAAGTCAGGAAATGTATTTCACACCAAGGTGACTTTAACAACTATACGGATCAACAACTGCCCACACCTGTAGCGTCAACAACACTTAAACAGTTACAATGCACCTATACCTAGATTATAGGTGTAAAATTCTTGACTTTTAATTTATTTAACTTATATTTAATTAATAATTAATACAGATCAAGTTAATAAATTATAATTTATAAAATTGTTTTTATTTTATATTTTAATACAGTTTAATTTTTTAAGTCAAACTCTTAATCATCCTTTTTTCTCATATTCCCAGTATTTTCTATTTTATTGTCTGTTTTAATAATAAGTTATTTCATTTGTAAAATGATCTTGCATGTTAGTCATTATAGTTAAATAGTTATATATATTTCAATTAGATGTTATTTTAATGTAATACATTAATTGTTACAAAATAGTTTAATGAAATCATTAGGTAATTGAATATTTTATAAAAACAATATTAAATATAAACAAGTATATTTTACATTTTTCACATATCTTTACATAGGTTACGCCTAATTACAATAAATCTATGATTGTTTTTAAATATTTAATTTTTTCCGACTATGATAATAACTTTATAAAGTACAATAAAATTATTATTTATTATACATTGTTTTGTATATTCATATCAATCACATAACGTGGGAATATTTCAGTTACATATAAAAAAGAAATAAGATATCAGAAATACAAAAGTGACTATAAAACCTTGTAAAAACGGTAACTTCAAAATAAACTTGTTTAGTTAACCAAAAGAATTTTACGATATAATAAATATTTAATCACTTTACAGTTAATTTTATGATTCATTTACAGCATTCGTGACATAATAAACAAATAAAATTATAAATTTTAATAAAAGTATCTACGAATGTGCTCATTAGTGATTATAATATATTATATAAGGCATGTAAAATTTCTCTCTAAAATCAGACTTATAAGTTAATGTAATTATATTGGTAATTATATAAATTACTGAATATTACTACAGTTGGTTACAGTAATATAGTAACAATGTCTGGAATAAAGTATTTAATTTTAATTATGATATTGTGGACCATGAAGTTCAGCGAAGCCGGTCACATCTCGTCCATGACTACTACGGAATTAAACCACGTAATTGGCGAAGACAGAATGACCAAGTTTGAATGCGAATTTGCATTGGGTATTACAGAGGTATTCAAAACAATTAAGATTTATAAAGTCAAAGGCGATAACTTATACCCTATTTTTACACGCACAGAAATTGATGAAGGTATTTATTTAAATAATATCTTAATTAAATC